CCTTGGGCATTCTCCCTCTTTTGGTTGGACTGCCACATGATGACACCTGGCGTCTCTCTCCTCTACTGGAGGCAGGTGTTTCTCCACAGTGTGCAGGCAGCAGCTTTCCACTCCCAGGGCAAGAGACTATCTGTCAATCTATACTATAAACTATCTATACTCAAGGGGTCTGCAGTACAACTGAAACACAACCACCACCTGTGGAGCCACTGTCGGTTGGGGCTCATGTCTTGCCAGGCTGCTGAACAGACAAAGGCAGACAAGGAAGAAAGGCCTGGTGATCTACTTTAGCAAATCAGCCAGTGAGAACCATATGGGTCCTAGAGCAACAGACGAAGAAGGAGAGTCAGGAACAGGAGGAGGAAATGGAACATGAGGCTAACTGCCTCCACAAACAACTGCCTCCTTTGCCATGAGACCAGAAGAACTGGATGGTGCCCAGCTATCACTAATGAACATTTTGATCAAAGATTCTATAGAAGAATCCATAGAAGAAAATGCAGAACAGAATTTCAAATTCTCATGGAATCCAGACTTTCTGGATCCATCAAGGCTGGATGAACCCTTGAAATTATTGCCCTGAAATAATCATTAAACCTTAAACCAAAAATCTCCCCTGAAGTCTTCTTAGAACCAAACAACAGTTTAACTTAACAAGTAAGGAATGTCCCCCTTGAGCACTGTGCTCTTTTAAGATGTATCTCAATGGGACCAAACTGACAACAGGAACTCAAAAGATTAGATAGGAACCTTAGGGGGCAGTGAGTTTACATTAATGAAGGAGGAACAATTCTGAAAAAGAGGATGAGCATGGTTGCCCAACTCCGAGAATGGAATCAATGTCAGTGAATTGTATGTGGAGAAACCGGAGTTAGTGTTTTTTATTGTGTATATTCTAAACAACAACAAAAGTAACAAACCAACCAAAAACCGTAAGGGTCACAATGGTCCAATCTGTAACCAATCACAGGGCTGGCACAGGACCAGGTGGCATTTCCTTCCATTGTGCGTGGGGACAACTTGACAGTAGCTGGCAACAACAGCCTCAGTAAAGGACAGCACAAGGACAATAGGTGTTGCCTCCATGACCCTCACAATCTTTACAGTCAGGCTCAGAACACCCAGGTCACACTGTCTTTTCACATTTTCCAAGGCACTGTTTCACGTACCCCCTGAGGTCAGCAGCTGTAGTGCAGTTAATTAACTTCACATGGCCCTTCTAGCCATCATCTTTGAAACTCTCACCAAGTAACTAGGTGGGACTACGCAAATGAGGTGCTTGTGGCCCACCAAGGGGATTGGACAGCTTGCTAATACTGTAAATAAGGTGCATGTTACTTTGTGGGGGTGGGACCATGCAAAAAAGGTGTATGAAACCCTAATGAGGGGATTGGTCAGTTTTGCCATCCTTCTAGGCTTAAATAAGCCATCTTAGAAATGGAAAAAGGGACTCCATGACCATCAAGAAAGACGAGCCAGGAGTGGAGCACATCCTTTAAACCCAGGATCCCTGTGCTGAGAACCTCCTAGACCCAGGAGGAGACAGAGACAGAGAGAGGAAGAGAACAAGCAAGAGCGAGAGCAAAAGAGCTCTCATGACAGAGGAGACGGTGAGCACGACAGAGAGGAGGCGGTGAGCACGTCAGAGAGGAGGCGGTGAGCACGACAGAGAGGAGGCGGTGAGCACGTCAGAGAGGAGGCGG